CCTAACAATACATTACACAAATGTTTAGACAGGTCTTTGTATTAAAATTTTAAATTATAGTGGTTTTTCCAAGTAACTGAAGCCTGGTTTTTATTATTAAAATGTATTTTGGTTACTGTATATGCTAATCAATTCCCACATTGAGCGAGGCAGCTGAGCCACTACCCGCCAGAAAGCCCATAACTTTATTTTTAATAACTAAAAACAAAGTAATTGGTTATGTCCTGCCTTATGCATCTTATCAAGCATCAATGCTTTGGCAGTCATTTTTACCTGGGATGTTGCTATACTGCTGCGTAACGTTACAAAAAAAGCAGAAAGACTGAACTTGCCTCCTAAATGAATTCTTCACTGTATAATTTATTAACAGTATAATTTATTTAGCTTAAGCTTACAGTGGCTTTTATCTGGGAATTACATGTGAATGTTCAGTAGTTTTATGAAGAGGAGGGTATCATGTAGCCTAACACACGTGCCTGAATCAGGCACTGTCCCCTGAGAAGCTGATGCTTCCAGAGGGTGGCTGAAGGTGCCAGAGCTTGGTGCAGGCAAGGCAGAGCCTCCCAGCTGCCTGCCAGGCGAGCGCCTTCCTGCCGGTACTGCTGCCAAATGCCTGACAAAAGCCATGGCCAGCTGAATAAGGTTCAGTTCACATCAGTAAATCAAAAGCAAAAAATCACCGTAGGAATATTGTGAATACCTGTAGTACTGAGAAAGCTGAAGTATAACTTTAAACCTAAACTTTATTATGGCATTAAAGGTAACTGTCCTATAGCAACAGAAAAGAAAAAAGCCCCAACAGCCCACTTTTTATTAATTGGAACTGCATGTTTATAATCCCATCACTTAAATGTCAAAGCTGTTTAAGCATCTTTATGACACCCACAGTTATATCTTCACTGTATCTAGTATATAGACACTGCCACTCTACTGTAACTTGTTATGTAGCAGTATTTAAATACAACTATAAGGTGCAGAAAATCTGAAGAGCTCCAGATTACAGAGTGTCAGAGTCCCCTACTACAGTGTTCACTCTCTTAAACCTGTGAAATTTCTACCCATCGGAGTGTTCCTAGGAGCTGTGTTACCTGCCTGAGATCTAAAGGGTGCCTAGATCAGAGAAGGCACTAGCTGAAGGATTTTAACTTATCTCAGTTTCAGTTGATTGGGAACTCCGGTGTTACAGGCAGAGGTTAGTCCTGGTCTGTGCCCCCACTTCCAACTGCCTTCTCAGCTGCATTGCCCTGCTTACATCAGACCGTCTTACCCATCCAACTGAAAAACAAAATTTGTTCTCCTTTTTTCTTCTCTGGCAATGTCAGTTTTCAGCTGGACCAGGGAGTAAAATCAGTATACTCCAAGGCTGAGCAATTCTGAGTCTTCACACAAGGAAGGCCACAGCAACCACAAGTGAAAACAGGTTTCCCCTTGTCCCCTCCTTTTTGGAAGTGCGGTTTTAGATTAGCTCAAGTTTGTCTTCAAACCCCACCCTAATGTACCTGGCTGTATAATCTTGTAGTGATCAAATTCAGCGCTGCACATGTTTCTCTGCTCTCTTCTTCCTCTTTAGTAGAAGCCAGCTTTTTCTTTCCAGAGGGGATGCTTTGAGTTTTGATATTATTTTGTTCCCAGTTGGAAACAATTTGCCAACTCATTAATGAAAGTAGAACCAAACAAAGTGCCTTTTCCCTTCCGTATTGAATTCAGTTAAAAAGATTTATAAGCTTGATTAGTATTCGAAGAATAACAATTGCTTTAATCTTTGCTGGAAAGCACGGCTGGGCGATTTGTTTGTCTCCATCTCTCAGAGACACAGCTGGCTAACAAGTGTTATGGAAGACATACACATAATGTTATGAAACACACAAGATTCACTCTAGCAGATTTGGGGTTTTAAAATGCATATTGCCTTAAAACTGTGTTGGATTGCCAGTGGTAGGGTCGCAACCACTGCATGCTGCTCTCTGAAAACTCTGCTTCCTTGATATGATAGAAATGAGTGATAGCAACTGAAAAGCAGCATAAGGACTCTTGAGATTCAGGTTAGCTGAGCAATGACCACACAGAAAGCTCTGTGTCACCTCTGTCTAGCTGGAGATCTGTTTGTTTTTTCTTCTGCATTTATGCCCCCAATATGGCAATACTGATTCACATGCCTCAGTGCAATAACAGTTCCCCTCACCATTAGGTGCAAGGTGGAAAAAGTACTTGTAATTCCTAATTTCTTCTTTCCTTTCTCCCCCAGACTTGTTCATGACAAAAAAAGTCCCAATTGTCAACTCTAAATAAAATATCATGAAACGGTGTATAAAACATTGTAAAAATCAGACAAAGCAGGAATGAAAATACACACTACACATTCACGTATGAAAATGCTCACACACATGGGATGGAAGTTGCCCCTCTCACTACAAGTCATACCAGTGCCGAAGCCGCAATGTTGATGCAAGAAGATTTTTTTCTGTCCACAACAGCTCTGTAACTCTGTCTCTAAAGTAGGGATACGCTTATCAGTAGCCTGAGAAATCCTATCTTTATTTTGGAGACAACATGAATCTCTGTTCCTGTGTGGCACTTGAAATAAGCAGGAGCAATGAAGTGAATCAGCAAAGACGCAGAGGCACGCTGCTGCTCCCTGGGCTGCGTTGGGCTGGCTCCCGCATGCCTGTGACATCTGTGGGACACAGCATCAGATTTGCTCTGTTCCCAACGGGGACTCTTCTACAGCTCAAGTGATAAGGGATGCAAGTCTCGAGAAAAGCAGAAACTGCTGTCGAGTTCTGAATGGCCACGGCACACAGCACAATACTGAATGAGGAATCCCAAAGGAAAATAAATCTCAGTAACGGCCCCGGGTTTGGAAAAATGAAGGTTTTCTTGCATGGTTACTTTTCAGGAGAGATACTCAGATATTAAGAGGATGGGTGACTCAGAAATACCACAGACGTTTACAATTCTACCCTTTATAGAGTCTCTTCTATAAAAAGATGCCAGACTTTATAAGCTTTGATGGATTGACCATTTCAACATCCTGTTGGGTCAGATGACAGCAACATAATATTCATATCAAAGATAAAATAAGACACTTTCCCACAGTCATAAAGCAAAACTAGAAACAGTAAGTAGTCCAAGCTTTTCTTCACTGCAGAGTTAATCTGGTTAGTGGGCACCTGCTCAACATATGCCAACTCCCAGCATTTACATCAAAACCCAATGCCATTTTCACGTCCCTCACTGCTTCTCTTTCTACACATAAAGTCTTATCCCTCAACCCTTCATATGGTGAATATTTTCTCTCCAGCTGATGGTGTTCTTTGTACTGTGTATGATTTCTTCCTCCATCAATGATGTCTGGGACTTACCTGTCCTTCAGAAGAAGGATGGGAAGTGCTAGAGAACTAGCAGCAGTCTAACAATCCTTGCCACCATTACCAGGCAAATGTATTTTGACATAAACCCTTCCTACAATGACCTGGAAAATATCATAACCCTGGCTGACTTTGGGCCAGAAGTTTTATCTGCATGGATGGGGTCAGTTAATGACAGTAACTGCTGGGAAGAGGTGCACATGCTGATAAGTGAGTGCACTTCTCAGTGTGGTGATGTAACTGTTTTGCATTCCCATATACAATGTGTCAATTATTTGGGAGCTGTATGCAGAACATCTCCTAAAACACTGTAAAAACTCTTCCATCTCTCAAGAAAACCAAGCTACTTTCCCAAAAACAAAGGCCCAGGCAAAAATCTTGTACCAGCTTCAAGAGCAACAACCTTCGTTCAGAAGTGACTTTCTACTGAATGGTTTCCAAACAAAATCAGCTATGTGGCATATGCTGCCAAAACAATACCTACCAGATGGTATGCTGTGAATTAAATGTTGACATAAAACCCAGACATACCACTCAATTCTCTCTTGACACCAAAACTTATTTCCCTACTATTTTTCTCACCTCATGATATTTACACACAGAAAAAAAAAAAAAATTTTTTTTTAGATACTCCATCTGGATTTCGAAGGGACAAATTAACCTGCAATATCCTATTACTCTGCCATCTTAAAAAAAAAAAAACAAAATTAAAAAAAGGCAATTTGATTACTGCAAAACAAAACAGGGAGCAAGTGGTTCTGAGAGTCTGCAGACCTCTATGTTTGTGCCCCTCTGCCTCCACATCTGCAATAACCAGATGCTCCACCAAAGTCCCCTCACAGACCCTCCAGATATGAAGAAGTGAGAGCTGGTGTTGGTGAGTCCAGAGCTACAGATGTACTAATCCACTAGCTGGCTGCAGCTAAATCTCTGCGATATTATCCATCACACATCTCAGTTCTGCCTTCCTGTTACCTACAGGAGTACTAATCTGGGTCTCTCCTTACTCTCCACGTATTGGTTTTTCCAAAATTTTAAATTTCTATCCTTCTTTCTAACAGAGGTGAAAATGCCCAATGGCAGTCAGTAGAGACAGAGCAGGCAGATGAAATTGCATGGGCTTCATTTCCTCTCCAGTCCTGGTAGTTTTATGAATTTTACTGTTTACAAATAAGAGAAAACCAAACAATGTAAAGCAGCATTTACATAACCAGGAGTTTCCAGACACCTGAAATTTTGAGTTCAGAGAAACTGAATGCTTAAATCGCAGCGTGTTCTGCTCAAACAACTGCACTTCCAGAGATGCACCTCCACATGAAACACCCCTTCCTGATCCCGGCACCTGGGATCAACAGGCAGGAGAATCTCCCCGCTCCACTTTCTCCATTTCCCACGTTTAAAATAATTACTGCTACCCTGAGAATCAAGATTTACACCGGCTGGACGAGTTGTGTGCATCTCCCGGGGAGTTCACAGGTTACCGGGGACTGCTGTTACCAAGGTCCAACAGCCTTCGACCAACGCCTGCTCCAGAGCCGTGAGGCAGGCCAGGCGCTCGGGAGCTGCGAAGCGTTCCTCTTCCGACCGAGCCAATTTCCTTCCCCCCCCCCCACACACACACCTCCTGCTCACAATTTGGAGCTGCGCTCAGGGAGGAAAACCACGACCTCATGGAGGAAGAACTCCCCCCGCCTTCCCCTCCCACGCCGCCAGCCGCCCTGAGGGGAAGGGCGGGGCCGGGCCTCCGCGCAGGAGGGGGGCGCAAGCGCGCATGCGCAGCGCCGCCCCGTTCCTGCCCCGGTGGCGGCCAGGAGTGAGTAGTGGGGCGGGGGGGAGGGAAGGGGGGGATGTGGCGCGCGGTCGCCGCGAGGCGCTAACGGTCACCCTCAGCTTCCCTGAGGCGTTGCTGGAGCGATGGCGGCGGCGGCCGCCTGGCTTCGTTCCGCGTGCGTCCCCGCCGGGTTTTTCATCCGGGAAACCGTGCTGCTTCGTCCCCAGCTTAATGCCGGTAGCGGCGCCAGGGCTGCCCCCGCGCCGCCCGCGGGAGGGAGGTTTTTTACCCTCGCTGTTGGTGCCGGTCCGGGGGAGACCGGTTGAGGTGCTGTGGGGGGTTGCGCCTCCCCGTGTGGACTGGCGGTGGGCCACCCTGTGCCTGGCAGTGACTTGTGCCGCTGGGGTCACCTTTACCCGGCCTCCATGCTGCCCTGACGTCCCCGCTGTGCCTCGGGGCCGTGCGGGAGGAGCTCCGCGGCGAGTCTTGGGTTGAGTTTGGGAGTCCTGCCCCCGGGTCCCCGGCTGTGCTCCACTCGGGTAAAGTACGGCGCGGGGGGGTGGGGTTTAGCACCGTGTCTCCTCTGCCCCTCAGTAAGCGGGGATAACCAAGAGTGTGTTTTGCTCGCCGTTGCTCAGGTGGCATCGTGCGGGTGACCTGCCCCTTGGGTGTAAAAGACCCGAGTCCCGGGGCTGCGGGGGTGGGTGGATAGACTGCTACAGTGGGGCGTGAGCTGTCCTCTCACGTGTAAGGTTTAAAAAAAGAAATTTTTTTAAAATGTTCCCTGTCGTTGTCTTTTTAGCCAGTGGTCTCGAGACTGCTACTCTGTGCGCTGGTAGCTTAAGCATTAGCCAAAGGCAAGTAAAAAAAACCCAAGCCCATTATCAGGAAACTTACATTTGCTGTGTAAAGACGTGCATCTCCAAAAGTTGATTTTAGGATGCACAAAATTGACAGGATAGAAAATCAGTGTGCTTAAGTAGGGAGTGTTAGGTAACACCAAAGGCAATTGTTAATATATACACAAAAATTCATGCTGGAAGAAGTGTAAGAAATGCTGAGCGTGAACTCATATTCAGTGGATGTAGTTCTTTCAGTTTTTTTTGAAAATTACATCTATTTTTCTTTCTGTTTTTAGGAAGTATTTAACATTAATTAAAATGTCTTCCATCAAACCTCCAAATGAAAGTGAAATACCCAAAGAGAGAAAACCAGGACTGAGGAGCGTTCAGACAACTATGCTCTTCCGAGCTGTGAACCCAGAGCTTTTCATTAAACCTGTAAGAGGCTCATTCTGAGAGAAACTATGCTTGTAGAGACACAGTTGCTTTAAAATAATCATTGCAATTCTGTTTGCATTATATAACCATCTCCTTGTATGCAAACTGCCTAGTAATGTAACTGTAGATATTTTTGCTTTTTTTTCCACTGATTGTTAAGAGCCCAGAACATTACACTGTCTATTACAGCTTTTATTTCACTGTTATATTGTCTGATTCTTTTGTACCTAGCCAAGTTGCTTTCAGAAAGACTTTACAGGAATATTACCCATGTAATATGACAGGTTAAGTAATAGGAGTCCTCTTTAATATTTAAAAGGGAACAAATCATAAAATGCAAGCTTTTTTATGTGAAAGAAGGGGACTTTTGGTAGTTTTTCAATGTTTTTTTTTTTCTTGCTTTTATAGTTAAGTTGATGATACTCAGGTATCTTGCAGAACTTGCAGAACCCAGCAAGACTGGATGGAATTTTGTGCATATAATAAAAGTAGATTTTGTGATATGTTTTCATGGTATATTTTAGAGGAATATAATTAAGGGTGCTTGGCAGGAGCAGAGTGCATTGTCCCAGTAGTACACCCAGATGAATTCTGTTAGAAGGTTGTAGTAGTTACCTTTAGTAGTTGGTTTTGGCTAGTTCATTCATGCTCAAGCAGCATTTGCGACCAGCAAAGGACAGAGCACTGGACAATGTGATGTTCTGTCTCCAGAAAGAATCATCTTCTTCAAAGGGAATTCCTTTTGCTATCAGAAAGTGGAGTCTCCCTTCTTGCTGCTTATCAAAATCATTTGGATCAGTCTGCAAGAAGGCAGTGATGATTTTTTGCAGTTGTCACAATAGTTTACTGTTAACTTTCTAAGCTAAGATAGAAGAATGTAATGTTTGTGTTAAATGGAGTGTTTTGACTAATTTTTTTTTTTCTTGTCAGAACAAACCTGTGATGGCATTTGGACTCATAGCAATTACCCTCTGTGTGGCCTACCTTGGTTATTTGCATGCAACAGTAGAGAATAAAAAGGAACTCTATGAAGTGATCGACAGTGAGGGGTCCAGGTATATGAGGAGGAAAACTTCCAAGTGGGACTGAGAATGTAAGGAAGGAAATCATCAAATCAGTCACAGGACTTTTCAAGGCAATGACTGTTTTTTTTCTCTGTCCTTTGAAATAAGAGATAAATGTTTCTCTTGTTATTTAATCCAATTTAAATTGCTTTATAAAATGCTGTGCCTGTACAAATAAATTGTAGTTAATATACATAAGAACTTAAAAGTGATTTTAAGAATTGTCTACAATTTCCCCAGTATGTCAGAAGATGGGCAGTTAACTCAGACATGCAATCGAGGCTGGTAGTTGCCTTTAGAAATTTACATGGTAGTTTAGCTCACTTTACTCTTTGCTTTGATTAGGTGAAAACACAGGTTTGTCTTTTGGTTTTTAAGCCAAAGGCATAATGTATTGTGTGTGAAAAGAAAAAGTTGATCTTCTAATCTGTTAAAAGTTGGTAATTAACAGTGGTGCAAGTAAAATAATTTTAAGGCAAGAAAGATCTGATAAAGCAGTCATTGAAGGTTATATTTAATACAGGAATTTGTAAAACACTGGCCAAAATAATCTTTGGATGCTAATACACTCTTCCTTACAAATGAAAAGTAAAATTCCATAGCTAGATAGAGGAGAAAAAGTGAAGTGAGTGCTTTTGCCAAGAGAAAGGTGGGAAGACCTCACCCATCACTTTTCCTGTTTAGCATCATATAGCAGGTCCGTGAACATACCAGTATCAGTTTGCCAGTTGATATGTTTAGATCCAGACTAGCCAGAATTTGTGTAGTATTCTTGACTAGCCAGTAGGACTAGTTTATTTAAGCAGCATTCAAAAATTGAATATCTCTATATTGCAAAGTACATTATATAACATTAATTTATTATAGGTTAGTGAACTCAGAATAAGGAATGGAAAATCTTAAAATCAACAGGTTCTTACAGACACAGACAAAAGAACGTATCTACCCACACAAGCCCCTTGTGTGGGTTGGAGGTGGCCCCTCCGCAGTGTGCTGGCTGGTGCCTCTGTGTGTCTGGCGTTTTCTCATATTTAGAGGCCCATCAAGGGCTCTCAAGAAGCTGAGAGACCTCTTTGTTAACCCTCTTCTGGCCAAGGTGGCTTCTGTCAGACCAAAGAAGAAACAACATGCTGGGACACCTCCTTTGTCGCTCTGGGAGTTGCTTTGGGTTTTGTTATTGAAGGATTGTTACTGAAGATAAAAAAAGGTGACCCACTGCCTTGAGGGACAGCAGTTGCTCCATGGGATTTCTCTGTATTTCCCTCTAAATCCTTCACTTTGAACCTGCAATCTTGTATAGTTACCTATATCTTAAATTCACCTGGGCCTTGGTTTGTCTACCTGAGAAGGGAAGTGAGCTCTATTTTGATAAAGCTATAAAAAAAATAGCATTTTTACAGCCTTTAAAAGCATATTCCCCGCTGAGCATAGCTGCCTCACAACAGCAAGGTCCTGGGCAAATCTGAAAGCTTGCAGGTGAGGAAGCTACTTGCCTTTTGATTGGTGAAGGAATTTCCAGGTGAATTGATCAAATACTCAGAAATATCACATGTTGTGTGTATCCAGTAGAATATGTTTTGTTTGATGGGATGTGATGGATCTTCAAAATTAGTCTGTTCTTTTAAAAAGAGTCATACAGGATTTTAGCTGTTCATTAAAATGCCTATGTCTCTCATCTTTGTATGAATTTAACTAAATTATTCCAAAATCTGTGCTATATTAAGCATTTTAACCTCTTTTCCTTCAGGCTTTAAAACTATACACTTTGATCCTTTCACCTGTGGGTGATTCAAAGTGAGAAAGCCCAGTCTCTCATTTTCACATATTTGGGAATAATGCAAGTTCTCAAAAGTTTGAATTACGTTTTGTGAAGTGACTATGGATCTGGAAGTTACTGGTGGGAAAGTAAGCGAGGTGTGGGAAGGGTTAAAGGTAAAGGTGTGGGACTGACCTGGGCAGCATGCCAGTGGCACTCTGTGGAAAAGCTGTCTGAGAGGGGGCCTCTTACCTGTTGGTGGAGTTGAGTCCTGTTAACCAGGTTAATTTAGAACTGCCCAGGAAGAGTGAGTATTTAGACTTGTCCTTATTATTAAGGAGCTTCTCCATATTTACTTGTGGCAGCTGCTGTACAGGTAACTCTCTTAATGCTACAAAAATGATACATAAAAAGGAGATAAAGCAGTGCAAATACAGAGAAGAATATAGGATGTTAATGGGTGTTATAGTATCAATACTGGCATTTGCTGCTTTAAGTAATTTATATCATAAAAACTATGTGTGTAAGTATTAAAGGGGAAAAAAAAAAACACCCAAACAAAACTACATTGGTAACAAAATTTGTTCTCTCAGCTCTGAAAGAACAGCTTCCCTTATGCATCTGGGGGATAAGCAAATGGCACCAAACCATTTATTTTGTTCTGCTTTTCTCAATTTCATCTTCAACGTAGCAATAATTATCTACATTGGAAGACAGCTGGCTTGACAGGAACTGCGAGTCAAAATGATTTCCTGGGCAGAGGATCTTTCAGGTTTCTGCTAATTCCTTGTTGTCAGTGCTGGCTTTCACATCTTTACCAAGAACAGCAACAAAATGCTACAATTTAAATAAACAGTAGTTATTGTACTGCTCTTAAAATCTCCCTAGACTACATGGTTGGAATAGGAATTGCTGACGTTCAACAACAAATAATGCATTAAAAAGCCAAAGCCTGCTGTGACACTGCTTAACAATTACCAGGGAAAGTTAGTTCTTTGTGAGCAAAGCCAGCCCTGCCCAGTAACAGTTGCTACGGAGGGAGCTGGATTAAGGCTGAAAGGGGTCACTTCGTACAGCCCTCCCTGTCATCTGCCTGCAGCATGTTACCAAGTTGTCAGCATGTGTGAATCCTAATCTGAAGGCAAATGTTTCGGCTAACTTGGTAAAAAGTAATGGTCAATGGTTTTTCTCTCTTCCCTGGCTTACATGTTTTCTGTAGCAACAATAAGCGCTTTGCCTGCAAGCAAGAGATCGATCGGGGATAGAGTTCTGATGTTTTGGTAACTGCGTTACAGAAAAAATACTAGCATACCACAATGATTAGAAGTCCCGATCTGGACTCCTTTGTTCGTTGTGCTGTATGTTCAAAAATAATACCACCACCACCTTCCAATGCTACTTTTGATCGGATCCGGGAGTATAAGCCCTTCAGAACACGATATTACACTCATCGTGATATACTGGGTAAGTCTGTTTGTGAAATCCGTCCCTCGCCATCTGAGATTTAGGAGAAGTCCAAGAGCTGTTGTGTTGATCTGTTCTTGACAGCCACGAAGGCACTCACATCTTGGCAAGAACGAACTGCACTTACCTTCTGAATATTAATAAACCCAGAATATTCAGAGGGTGGACATGATCAGCCATCCTGGGGTGCACGAAGGCATTCGGGTTTGGGCATAATGGAGTGCAAAAGAGAATTAGCTGTAAGACCGTTAGCAGATTTTCTAAGGCTCCAGTAGTTTGGGAAGAACTATGCTTGATTTAACATTTGCAAAGATCATCCTCTCATCCTTCAGCAGGACACAGCTGCAATGCTTTATCCTGAATCCTGCCTCCTTAGACCCGATTCTGGCTGCTGACCTTAGACTTGAGGCTCTGTAGAGCCTCCTGAGCTTTGATTTATTTCTGACATACCACAATCATAACCTAAATGGTGAAGCAAAGCATACGGTAGCATTCATATGTTTGAGTGAGCAATATATGCTACACCTAATTGTCACAGAGGTTTCTGATCAGGAGTGTAAACTTTTGTAGAAATCAAGTGCATTTTAATTAACGTGCACTGTGAAGAGAAGCGTGCTTGGTTTCTATTTTAAACAATATTGAGAGATAGCGTTACTCTTGATACTCGGTGTACGGAGGGCCCTGGCAGGAGTGTGAGTGCTGTGTGTGTCTCAGAACAGGAGGTTTCAGCCCTGTGTCGACACACGGAGTGTAAAACACACCCGGTAGGCCAGAGACAGTCTCTTTAAATTATTTTCTCTTTACTGCTTAATATAATGAACCGGGGGAAAGCTATGCAGTCAAAGCACAGCATGCTAGTTGCTAAGATTTATGCACTGTTGGACTTCTATTTTGCTGACTTAAATCAGTTGACCCCTTTGTCCCATCCTGCTGCCGTTTTCCACATACTTCGTGTTAGCTCCATGAGAGGACTCTGCCCACCCATGTGGAGTGGGGAAGAAGACTGGACTGAAAGAGGGAGACTTAATCCTCCAGTGGCTGTGTGGAAGCTAGATCTCCTGTGGCTCTATTCCTTTTCATTTTATAATGACCCAGGAAAATGTGACTCTTAGGCCCTGTCAAGCACGGAGAATGGGATCCAAAGCAATGCCCAGGCTTGGCACTGAGCAGGAAAGGCAGAGGGGGAGGATCTCAAATCCCACTGTCAGGGCAGGGGGAGTTTTGGGTTGCAGAAAGTCATCTTTGTCCACCTCCCTCTGCAGTGGCTTCTCTTCTGGGCAATCCTTGGTGCTGAACACCAGCCCTTAAATGAGCAGGGCTACTTGTTTGCTTTCACAGCATGTCCACAAGAGGAGATGGTGATGCCAACATCTTACTTAGACCCCATCCATGTTGCTAAAGGGAACATCCCTGGCCTAGGCCCTGTGATGCAGTGTGGCTCACCTCCATGCTGCTTCGCTCCCCCTTTCCAGAAGGGATTAGCTGTGCTTCTGCAGCACTGGGGCTGCTCGGGCAGACACAGCAGTCCTACAGACAGAGGGATTGCTCGGTTCTGAGCACCTGATATATTCTGCTATATCCCCCTGAGAATATTGTGTTCCCCAAGAGTGGCATGAAGGAATCTGAGGGCATCTCAGGCCCAGAGACCTTGCTGAAAGCTTTGGAAGACTGTGAGGTTGCAGGGAGCCAAAGAGGTCACTATCTCACCCATAGCACCTAAAAGGAGCAAAGCTGTCCCCAGAGCTGCCGCGAGTTTTGTTCGCAGAGAGAAACAGGTGAATCATTCCCAAGACAGCTGAGGAGTGACCTATTGCTTGTGCCGTGTGGATGGCCGTCAGGACAAGGAGTCAGGAGGGACACACATGATGCTCTCCTCTTGTGCAGCCTTGCCTAGAAAGTGAGAGTTGGGTTTAGCACCTTTCTATTACATTTATGGAACTGCATCAGCAATAATAATAATTGTGTTTTCCTAGATGTGAAATGAGGGTGTGTGTTTTTTAGCCTTTTGATTTTTAGTTCAGCTGCAGAGCCAAGCAAAGGGGTCGGAAGAGAGACATGGGTTTCTGCGCTCTGGTTGTTTGCTGTGCATGATCTGCTTGTGTTGGTCGTGCAGAGATTGGAGCAGACATTCAACAAGAACAACATGAAAAGGAAGAGGCAGAGATACAAGAGCACATTGAAAAAATGAAAGCTGAACTTTGGTCTCAGGTAAATTAAATTATGCTCCTGTCATTCAAAGGATGATTATTCTTTGGACTAATTGCTACAGTGTAAAGACAGTTAATAAACAACTTTGAGGTCACTGCTGTAGAGCTGTCATTAATTTCAGCTCCTCCTTTGTTCACAGATTTCTATGTGCACGTACTTTTCCAGTTTCTGATCACAACAAAGCATACTTTCAATTAATAACAAATTTTACATCTGGTCTGAAAGCGGCCTCTAAAGCATGCTGAAATTATCAGTTGTTAAAGTTGTTCCTCATAGTGCTATATAAGATTATGAAACTGCCCTTTATATATGTCTATATATATGTATAGTGGTTACAAATGTGGTGGCTCAATGCTATTGTGTGGCCACATTTTAACAGGAATTACTGCAATAAAATTGCCAAATGGGCCAAAATGTATGTTGCCATCTGGTTTTAAATGTAACTTGCTCTGATCTCTTAAATAGAAAATAGAGAACTATTGATTATGTAACTTCTGCTTCATCTTAATAGGTTGGTAATAGAATATAAGCAGCTATATTTAAATAATAACTTGTTTTAAAGGCTGAAATGCAGAAGCAAGATGCAGTGGATAAAGCTCTCAAAGAGGCAGCCGCTAACCACAGTGCATTTGTGCAAGACCTTAAACAAAAACTTGGAAAGGAATTAAGGGTATGAACCAGTTTACTTTCATTACCATGGAAATAGCCAGTGTGACAGAACCATGCGTTTGACAACCAAGAATGTCATTGTATGTAAAAAAACTTAAAAAACCCCCAGACTTACCATAACCAGGACCCTTGTTCATCTGAGGTTTGAACTCTAGTGCCAGGAGAAGTACTTGGCCTGAAAGATGACTGGCTTTGTCTTTGGGCTAGATGAGATGTGAACTTGAGCTAGCTGGATTTTTAATTTACTTTCAGCACATTTCACTTTTTTCTTATTGAATGAATTTTGTGGACTTTGTTGAAAATTCCTTGTCAGGCCTTGATTCAGCCAGCCGCTGAACCTGATTTGGTGCATTTCTTAAGGGCAGTTAAATACAGACTTAACTTTAAATCTCTCCTGAAGTTTTGTGTCCATCAAAGCTAGAAAGGTATTTAACTGATTTTCTGAACCTGGACCCTAAGTGGGGTGGAGGAGAAGGAAAACTGCTAGCATACATATATTCCTAAATGAAGCATACCAGCTGTAGCTTTGAATTTCTAGAGATGCTTAGCACATGCTTTATAAGGCTGTTTGGATATATAAGAAAAGAAACAGAGATATTCAAAGAGAAAGGAAGGCAACTGCTTTCTGGATCTGAACCTTCCTGCTTTCCACACAACTTCACAGGGCTTTTTACCATTTTTTACCATTACTTTTACCAAGTACTCCTCAGTCAGGCATTGCGCAGTCTGTCTAACACCTGTCATCCTTAGTCTTGCAGCCTCCCACCAGCGGATGAACAGCACACAGAGAATTGCTGGAGTGTTTTGCTTTGGAATTTTGTTTTATACAAGTCTCTAAATAGCTATCTGTTTATACTGCAGGCAGTCAAAGCAATGTGCTTGGCATCTCAAGAGGAAAAGCAGGGAGGTTTACAGTGGTCTTAAGTTTCCGGCAGAGTTCATTCCATTTTATGGAGCTGTTTTCCAAGGGAGTTCTGTCTTTTGCTGTCATAGCATCTGCCAACAATAGTTGGCAGAAGCTCTGTTCCTCATATTTAACCATTCAATTACTTGCCATAAGCCTATTCTATATCTTCATAGAACTGAGCACTCAGGATTTGAATGTGATACATGAACATCCTGATACCATTGGCTCCAGTGACTAAGGACTAGGAAGCAGATACAGAATCCTACACCTGAAACAAAAGAAGAGGCAGCTATAACTAAAGTAATTGCAAGATGTTTTAGATTTGGTGGTTTGTGTTTCTTGCAGTTCATTTTAAGAGGTGTGTTAACAGTGAGCTAACTGCTCACTAGCAGCTAGCTTGAAGAGGTGGTGGCAAAAAATTTACTCAGCATCTGTCTAAGCAAACAGATACTGGCAGCCAACAAAATGTATCACTGAGTGAGTGATTGAAGTGGGATTTTATGTGTAGGATAGGTCAAAGACAACTGCTTTCAGCTGATAGCCTCAGGAATGGCTTTTTGCAGCAGTGCTGATGTGGCTGTTCCACCACCACTAATGGTCAAATGATTTTAGTTAGACTTCTTGCAGGCCCTGCTATATGTCACTGTACTTCCCATCAGTAGACAAACCACCAGTATCCACAAAAATACACAGAATACAGAGCCTGTACATGGGTGTGCAAGAGTTTTATGGCAGACCTTATGTAACTCCATTCATCCTGTATTAGAAACCCCACCAAGGTCCAAGCAGCCAGAGCTTTGCCAACCAGTGTCTTGCCACTTCCACAGAGGATGCACTTGTCAGGGGTCTTGGAAAGAACTGTGAATGGCAGCAAAGCAGCATAGATCACTGGGCACCGGGTTAAGTGGGTTGGATTTCTTTACTGGATGGTCAGGTTTGGCATGGACTGTAATGACAGCAGAGGTATATTGGTATATACTGAGTTGTCTGAGATTCCAAATGTATGTAAGTCCACCCAGGCGACCTACGATTAGTGTTGTCATACCTTTAGGTATCAGCCCAAGCAATATCTTGCTGACAAGCATACCAAGGACTGGGCTGATTCTCCATCTCACTCTAAAACCATGCTACCAGCCACGTGATCTTGTGAAGCAAATACATCAGGGAACTTTTTGTGCCTTATGTAGAAAACACGAGTGATGTGGAATGATGATACAGTAAATCACTGTAATTGATTGCCCCATAATATTTTCTCGAAGTCCGTTCTGCTGAGCTTTGGGTGTTGCTTAAAGATGACTGAGCAGTAAGCTGTTGTCACTACTTAACATCTACTTTTAACTTTGCTCAAGGAAGAGGTGAGGAAGGCAAAGGCAGAGGTGCAACAGTACATGGAGGATCAGCAGAAGAGAGAGGCTGAAGCTGCGGAGCAGCGCATGGCTCACAGACTTCGGTGTGCCCTCATGGAGTGTGCCCGGGAGAAAATGCAAGCAGTGGCTGAAGCCAGGAAACAGGAGAGGGAGGCGGCCCTGAAGGAAGCAGCCAGGCAGCACAGGTGCTCTTAGTGTTTCCCCCGGCCTTGGCTGGCAAACATTCTGTGCTAAAGAAAATAACTAGCATTGCATCAGCATTGCTCAGATGCACAGGACCTCTAGGAAAAGGTCAATAGGCCCTTCAGAAAAAAATGTATTTGGCAATGTCAAGTGACCAGCAAGAGTTGCAGGCTCGCTCTCTCTTGCTGATGCCCCATACATATTTTATTCCTAAAAGCAAGTATCATAAAACCAACCAAGGATCCAAAATTTTTGCTTTTTATGGCTAATTTAGAGTCATCAGAAATAAAGATCTCAGGGGCCTATTGTGCCTTTCATGACATCTACGTAAAACTGGAAAAGATGTGTTCATATGGAGATCTGCAGGGTGCAGGATATTTGACCTGTATAGATTAAGCATTGTGAATCAAACAGCTTTGATGTCAAAATAATAACACACCCCTATCCCTTAAGAGTAGAATACATTTCATTTTTTGATAGCACAAACAACAAAATAACACTATCGCAATGAAAATATCAGCTCAGGTGTGTTCCTGTGTAGGATTTTTTTTTTTTTATCTGAACAGACTCACACTTAAGTTTTGATCTACTGTTTAATACCTTCATTTTCATTATTAAAACATGCCATTTCTAACAAAGATTAATGACATTCCACATGAACTTAACTGGTCTCTCTAACTTCTCATGTTAGCAGAGTTCTGTGAAAACATCTCCAGCAAAGTGGAGGGAGCAATAACAGAGGGCAGAATTTTCTTTCTCTACACTGAAGTATTTGGCTCAGTAACCTTAATGGATCCCTGATGCACCATTCTTTATGTGTCCCTGAACCAACTCTGATGAATAGCACCCATAATGTTTTGACTACATAATATAAATTATATGTTTTATTACTAGCATGCTAGCACAAAGATGTTCTCAGTACCACTTAGACAAAATTACAGATGAATCTGTAGTCTAGAAATCAGTTCTTAGATTTCACATCAAGACAGCATTTTTACTTGGGGGCAGAATTGTTCAAAGTCTATTTGAAAATCAGTGTGTACTTAAGTGCTAGCTCAAAGAGAGACCTGAATGAAGAGTGAAATAGTAATCCTTTATATTTTTCATTTGGAAGCAAGCATCATTAAATTATCGCTGGATGTGACACATGCAGAAATAGAATCTTCTGCAGCTGCCTTTTTCTGCGTCATCAGTGGTCTTCTTTTACCCTATTTTGTTTCAGAGGTCTTACATCAAGTTCTGATTTCATGTATACTTATAGTTGAATAAGAGAGGTCTTACAGCAACATGAATAGACTTAAATTGGTTTAAAAATAATCTTTAATAATGGGTGTTCCCTACAAATCTTTTCTTAATTTTCTTTTTTCAATAGAAAGCACTTAGAGCAACTCAAAGAAGAACATATGTTAGCTGAGGACCTGTATCAGAAGAGTATAGAACAATTAAACAAAGAAAAATGTCATGAGATTAATACTGCTCTGAGTATCACACAAAAAGAGAATCAGATTGAGACTGAAAAACAGCTCAAAGAAGCAGAGACCCTGCATCTTGATGAGCTGGAAAAAGTGATGGTTACATTGAAAGCAGCAGAAGAACAGGTAAAGACTCTCATGCAAAAACTGGAGAAGATGACAGATTGGAAGGACAGCCTGGAAGCTGAAATACAAGCAACAAGACAAGCTTTTCAAAAGTATATTGATGCCACATTTCCTAACCTGTCCCCTGGACAAGCAAATTTTATTCTGCCCTTCAGAGAAGCATTTCAGCAGAAGGACACCCCAGAAGAAGAAGAGAACAGTGACGAGTAATATAAGAGAACCAGTATTAGAAGCATGAGATTCACAGCCATGGGTAAACAGAACTACAGTAGGTGATGCTGAAAAATAAATTCACCTCTGTTCGCTGAATTATATGTGTGGTTAGAATGATGCACAGAAAAATAACGGTCACTATATTAAATAATGAGGTGATGAGCCATGCCTAGAAATTATGCATTAATTTTTGTTTTGTAAATGCTAGGGCAGAGGTTGGAACATGTAGCACTTGAGGAGCTTCTTGAGTCCTCCTTGAGAAGGAAAAAATCTGAAGATCTGATCAGAAAATCTGTCACTTAGTTAAGCATCAGTGCTTGGATTGTGAAGACTGTTGACTCTGCCCCTGAATACTTGGGTGTGGAGTAAGACACCCAACCTTTGAACACCTGAAGCTTGGGTTCTGAGATTGACAGGGCAGTTATTCTATGTAACAGTGTGTATGTCTATGTAGAGTACTTGCAAGTGAGTGGTTACGTGATCTGAAAACTCACTTGGCTTGAGAGAATGCTTTTGGGCAAAAAGTGTGTGGCAGCAGGCATGCAAAGTCATTTTCCTTTAGGAGAACTCAAGTTTATCTGTTCACATGTGCTTGAAGCCTGTGTGGCTTTAGGCCAGCCTCAATACGCTAATTGGGTGTGAGATTCAGCCTGCCTAAATGTCTGATTTGTCTTCACTGCGTGATAATACTTCTCACAGCACTTGCTTAATATTCACTAAAGCTTTGTGTCTATCTCCTTTGTTACCTATTAACCTGAAAACACTGTATAGCATCTTGAGTGTGAGCTAAGGAATGTAAAGGAGCTGGCCTTTACTGTAGGTGATAGAAAGTATAAGAAGGTTAAGGAAATTTTTAAGAGCAATCTGCACACTGTTCTTTTCCTCATGCTCAAAAACAACCCCAGAAAACAAAAAAGCAGAATAATCTTACAGATATCCATCACTCTACGAAACGAGGAAGTGAAGACAAGTGAAATCACTGGTTTCTTGTGGAACAGTTTAACTCTTATAAAATACTTAGAATGGACATTTGGCATGCTCTGGCACTATTTCTGACCCAAATGCCTGTAAAACCTTACTTCACTGAATTGTGGGAGCTCTTTCTGTGGAGACCTGATGCTCCCTGTTCATTTCCTCTCTTACGCTCCTGATGAGAATAATCCAAACATCATGTTCACAGTTGTCTAATCAAATGCATAAACTGCACAGAGCCCAAGATAAAACTTATGTTTACATCTTAAAAGTTCTTCAGCAGTCTGAAATAATCCGTAAGGTCTGTAATCCTTTTTTTAAAGAAAATATTTACATGTGTATTAAGCATAAAGGTCTTTTGAAACTACAGGAGTAAAACACTGGAACCAAAGCACTAGCATCTGCATAATGAAAAAGCTGATGAATGCTCTCTGTTGGGTTAGCTGTTTAAAGGCTCACCTCAGCACACGCTGCGGAGCCGAGGCACAGCGGCAGGTGGGGGAGCCCCAACAGCCCAGTCAGAGGAACGAGCCTCCAATCCAGCCCCTCCTGAAGCATCCCAGGAGGGCATCAGCCCCATGGGCCGGGAGTGAGACCCATCACCATAAGTCAACTGGAGAAGCTGTCTGGAGTACCTTGCAGACTGAGGGTGGATACAGCCTGGAGGTATGGGACTCCTTATGGGATGCAGGGAATTGTATTTTGGGATTGTAGGGGGGTTGTACAAAGGGTTATTATGGGACGTTTAGGGAAAAAACTCAAGGTGGGGATAAAGGGATCAAGGTGGTCTGGGGAAGAAAAAGAGTGGGAAAAGAGAGGGATAAGGGGCTAAAAGAGGCTGGTTACATGTAAACAGGGGCTGGTCATAGTTGGACCATGCCATGTGTCTGATCAGTGCAGTCTGTCCTGCCTTCTCATTGAACTCCATTTCAAACTTTACCTGGGTGCAGGTCTTTGTCTGCATGTGTATGCGTGGTGGTCTACCAGCCAGCAACTGGAGTTGGACCACAGATGACAGCAGTTGTGGGCTCAGAGTGCCAGAAGTTGGAGAGACTGGAGTGCATATTATGTGCGTACGTATGTCGGTGCACAATCACTAGCAAATCTCAAGACAGACTAGCTGAACAATAGGGTAAGAGGCGTGGGAGCCAAGTGATGGTGTGGCCATAAATCTAAGATACTGGAGAGATCAGAACATCTGAGGTTTGGCTACTTGAGGGACCAGGTGGTCAAAGCCAGTGACTGGAGAGGCTGTGAGGTCTGAGGGTTGGCTGTTGGTAAGGGCTTAAGACTGGACCAGCTACCAGACATGCCGTTTACATGCACATGAGACAACATGAGGGACAATTCTTGCATGTTAGAAACCAACGATGATGATGAAGTGCTTCAACTCCCCTTGAACAAACAGTTCAAGTTCTCTTCCAGTGATAGATAAGTAGGTTTATTTGTTCTTTTCTACTGGGAAGGATATAATCATCATATACTTCTGCAATGCCTTACTGTTAGCATTTCTTTCAGAAAAAAAAAAAAAGAGGTCATCCTGTGTTACAAGGTTAGCTCACTTTTTGTATGGGATACAGTGGCAGTGAGTGATACAGACTGTGGCTGTCTATAGGGGTAAGTGTTTTCTGTGGTGGACCTTGGTCCTGGGTACCTCAGGCATCCAGATGAGACATGGGGTCCCTGTGAGTGCACATCCCAGGCCTCTCCTGACCTACAGCCCTGGGGGCATGTTTCGAGACAGGCGGCAGAGGTCCAACGTCTGCTCAGCTGTGTCTATACATATATATATATACTGTAGACGTGCTCTGGGGTGGACTTACCAGTGTAGGCACAGCATATACAGTACGTAACAGTCTGTCAGACACTGGCATTGCTCCTCATTGCCTTTTGGGAAAGGAAAAACATTTTGGTTTACTGCTTTCAAATGTCAAGGTGAAGTTGTATTGGCTCTGCTTAGAAACAGCATGTCCTCTTAAGTCTTAGTTGTGTAGAGGTGAAAGGAGCTACAGCTTGGCCTAAGTGAATAGCTCTGCACTAGAAATGGATAGACAAGATAGCAACCTATAAAATCGCTATGGGACCTGGAGAGCCATTTGCCATGGACACTGTTTGGGTATTTCAAGGAAATATTTAAAAATTAAAGTATCTAACTAAGCCTGATTTAAGAGATTTTTTTTTTTCCCTTCTTGCTGTACTCACTGCACAGTGTTAATTATGGTTGACTGGCACGCTGAAAAAAAAAAAGGATGTTTTTCATATCTGCATGTCAGATACTTAACTAATGAAATCTGTGAATACATGAGCTATTGGCAGCTAATAAAAATCGGTAGTTCAGACATACAAGCAAGCCTTTCATTGCATGAAGCAGAGACAGCATATGTTTGTTAGCTTGATTTTCTTCCTGTTTGAGAAGGATTGCAGCATGAAAAGTAACACTACCCACTGTACTTGCACTCTGAATCAGAGAGTGTGAATACATGCTTTCTGACTGTTTGTGTGAATGATGCAAATAAAAAAGCTTTCAGATAACATCTGGACACTAAGGTGCCAGTGATGGCACATACTGACAGCAGAGTGCATGAGACAAAACTTGGAATGGGCATCTGTAATGTTGCAATGAATAATACAGAAAGCAGGAATTCTCTAGTAGTCATTCAGGAGATGTCTGAAATTGCCAGAAAGTACCATAGTTTCAGGAACAGTGAAACTTTCTGTCTAAGGCAATGCTATAAAAGACTGAAAAGTGGGTTGCCCAATTACTGTAGTTGAGCAGCTGAACTAGTAGGGAGCTGTGGAGTACAGCTGATAAGCAGCTAATTAATAAACTAGAGACATCTTGCTCGTTAGTCGGTCAAAGGTCTGCAGAGGAGATCTGTGAAGTCTTAAAAGGAGGATATGCAGATTGTGAAACCTCTGAATGCCTGGCATGGGGAAATGAAGTGTGAAAGGAGCTAATAACGCTGGTAGCATTTGGAGTGTGAGCACACACTGTCTGTGCGTATGAGGCAATTAAGGAACTGCAGCACCTCACGGGCAACAGACCACAGAACAAATGCACTCTGTCTATGCATGGCTGTAGTGTACCCACACAAATATAAACTGAGTAATGGTGATTTAAGTTGCTGATGTGATTTCCTTTGCTGGGCATAATTAACAGCAGTTCAGCGTTACATTTTCTGCTAGTTAAAATACAGATTGAGTAAAGGAATATGAGTGGCTAAATGCAAAATGCATCAAGTGAATGGTGGGAGATGCACGTGCTGAAACAACTGGCATTAATATTAGCTAGTAGGTACATTACATGGGTGTTTTGGTGATATCTAGGCAGGGTTCTGCCTGGGGACATGGCGGCAGTGACCAGAGGGAAAGACAAATCCTAGAAGGAAGACTGGGCTGACAACAATGATAGAAACATCCTGGGGAGTGAGGAAACCTGTGCCTCCTCCATTGCAGTTTACTGGAACTAGCAGTTAATACATGGCCTTATCTTTTTTTGGGCCAGTGAACAAACCAAGAGTTAGAGGTAAACAGCTTGACTAACAACAGCTAGTAAACTGGCAGCAAGTAGGAGGATAAATACAACTGCTGTAGCCCAACTGTGACATGGCCTGAACAAATCTTGGTTCTTCTAGCTGATCATCAACAGTTTGTCTTGTTCTTATTATAACAGTCTCTAGCACTTTGTTTTGGCTGTTCTTTTTACTGGATCTCACCTTTCTTTTGCATATTTGGACTTTTCCAATATACAGCTGCATTCTTCTGTTATTCTTGTCCTAAAACTTGAGTGACTAGAGAAAAATCCTACCCATCGAGGTGTCTGAGCACATTTTTCCATTATTTTTCTCATAAGATTACATTCTTCCTTCCTCTAATAAACTTTCCAAAAGACACAGGCACTTTCAATTTGTTTATGTGAAAACTTAAGCCACACTATAAGTGGAATATTGCTGGCCAAAGTTGAGCTCCACTTCATTCTGTCTTCTCTCACAGCCTCTTGGGAACTTAAACTGCTGATACCAGACTAGTTGCAGGGCTCTGGGTACTACTGCTGCTAGCCACAAAAGCTACAAAACTACTGCCTAAGGCAT